GATAGCAAAGCTACAGCATACAGATGCTATATTACTTCTTTTAATGATGTATCTACAATGGAGTGCAAGTCAAAGAAAACCTAATCCTGGAGAATAATATAACTCCATCAAGCTCAAATCAACATTTTTACTTGCAGTAAACACCCTTTCCAACATTTTAACCATAAAAATACTTTTTTCTTTTTTTAAACCTACAGTCCTTTCCACATATAAGAGAATAATGAGCGTACTGTCACATAGGCATATGATAAAAGGCTCCCAGAGCAAAATAGAAAAAAAAAAAATCAGTAAATGTGCATATCAGAAAAAAAAATGCAAAGAGAGGAAGTAGGGATGGATAAGTGAAGTATCAAAGGCAATCATCAACAGGATACCCTTAACAGTAAAGCTATCATTAGGAAAAAACAAGGCAATAATGCAAACATTTAAATAAAGTGTTAATTTATAAATGCAAGAGCATCTAGAAGAAGCTCAATCTCCATAGTTTTCCTTAGGAGAGGCAAGTGTGTTCATTAATATTTGAAGCAGTTACAAGGACTGATTTCTCCTCCTCACCTACCTGTAGCCCTTTAAAACATCAAGGCTTCAGAATGAGATAATAAGTTTTCTGTGTTTAGTCTTCAAAAAAGCATCAAATCTTAGGCCTAGAAACATATAGGTCATTGCTATCATATTCTAAGGGCCAAGATAATTGGTATAAGCAACATTCCACCATTATGCGCAAAGTTTCCTCCTGTGGCACATCTGCCTTAATACAGTCAAAGAAGCTCCTCATGTTCCCATGATCTTTCTCAGTACCTGGTGGCCTCAGACAATTTTCTGTGGATTTCCTCGTACACATCAACATTGAAAGTCCTCTGGACAAATGACAGTGCCATCTTGAGAGCCTCCACCCGCAGCTGTGGGCAGTGATCAGCAATAAATTGCAGCCGCTCAATTCGCATCAGACCGCTGTAACTCGATGCATACTGCTCCAAATCCTGCAAACAAGATCTCGTCTCAGAAGGCAAAGATGGCAACACTAACTCCCACTGTGACTTTGTCCAGATTTCATCATTTGAGCTGAAGTTTCCTAGACCAGACACCCATCCTTGACAGTTTTTCCCCCAAAAACAGTTTCGAAATGAGAACTTGCACTCTTTTACTCATATTAATCTCTTAAAACATCTCCTTAGAGAACTACTAGAATCACTTACTTCTGAGGAAGGATTTTAGATTTTATAATTCTGAATATTTAATGAATTTTAAGCCTTTGGGGGAAGAGGAAGAGCAAAAAAAAAAAAAAATCACCTTACATGTGGCCAGTAAAGATATGCTAAAGCCTTGCTGGTAGATTTCCCAGAAAAAAGAAATACAAATGTAAACAAATATAACAGCGTTCAGGGCCAAGTCTAGCGTCTGGAAACACGCTAGATTCAGGAAACACGAGATCTCAGGTTGCCTGTCCACACTTAATTGGATCCCTCCTGTGTGCCAAAATTAAGATACAGTTATAGAAGTCATGATCCCATTTTCTAACACGATTCTTCTGTGATTTAGTGAAAGAATGAACTTACTCTGAGACTGAAACAGGATTGTGTGCATTGAAGACCTGCTTTATTTGCTGTAGAATCTGAGAAATACAAAGGCAGGAGCATTCCTTCTTCTGAGTTTTCATGTTTGAGGCTGCACAATACTCCTGACATCTTTGAGCAACGTCAATTTTACTCATTGGCCCTTTGAATGTCAAAGGGGGATTATGTTGCTTCACATCATATAATTATGGTGAAAATATGATCCCCAATATTTATGGAACATTTAGATGCTATATTAACAAGCAAGATAAAAAGGCTAAATAGGCTAAAACATAATTACATCACCATTCTATCTTCAGAACAGAATTTAAATGCAACAGAATCAAACAAGGTATGAGCCCATACACTGAACAAAAAAATAACGAGGGCCGTGCAGAAAATAGCGAACGACCATATGACAACTGTATTACAAGGCACTGGGACAAGAGGGGCAAATTAAAGCTTCGGGGTTTTGTGAGATCCAGACCTTCCCAACTGAGTGCTTTATTTTGCAATTTTAATATTGCTTTAACCTTTTTTTAATTGATATTTTTGTTCTCTTCTGTGGCATTCATCTCCCACTATTATAGAACTGATATACAGAAGTTGGCCAAAAATCTCAAACCATGAATTAAAAAACTGAAGAAATTGATACAAGCAAATGAAGCCCTTAACAACTCGACGGTTCTATGAGTTTTAGCCAGTCTCCAGAGGATCAAGACACAAGGAAAGAATTCTATCCTAATTATATACTTTAAAGCACCTGAACTTAGCTCTGCAGAGAAAAGGACATGTCTTTAAATAAAGGAAAGATGTCTCTATAAGTAATCAGAGATGCACTAAACTATTTCAGAATGCAAACTGTATCAAACAAGCAGCACACTGCAAACGACAGCACAGCACTTCCTCCTTCATCAGAAGGTGCAGTAGAGGATAGCACATGCCACAGAGCTACAGAAGAAGTCAATGTTTTTCTTATCACGCCTTGCTTACAAGAGTCTATTAATTTCTAAATAACAATTTGACAAGGAGTAAAATGAGGGTGTCTTCCAAAAACCTGAAAAGAAGAGGCCAGGCCCAAGAAATGTAACCCTTCTGCCCTCAACCAGCACATACCAGAGTGGGGTTTTCCACCACATAGTTGATATCAGGCGCATTCTGCTGATCTTCTTGTGGATCTACGTCAATCTGCATGGGCTCGACTGCACCCTAGAATAGCAAAACGTGGTCAAAAGTAGCTTATTACATTTGAACGGGAAACAACTATGTGACTCAATCTGTTAAGGACTTGCTTAAATACACATGAAATTATAAAAATGAAAGAACACCCTTCAGCTTTTAGACATATTCAAGATTTTTCTCTAGCAATGCTGTTGCTCAGGATGAAGCTTCCTCTAAGAAAAGCAGCACTAACTCTCACCTTTCATACAGAGCAGTTTCCTTCTTTCAGAAGCTTACTGAGCAAGCGATAAGGCATCCAAGTGAAGGGGTCAGGATGCCTGGCACTACATAGTATCTCAAGGCACATGCTAAATTCCAAAAGATATTCAATTTCTTGAGTGGGAGCTGGGGTTTCACCCACTGTCAATTTACATGCTGATTTGACCTGGGTGACCAAGATTTAAGTGAAATCTCCCAAATTTTGAAGTAAAGAAAGCATATACAAGTTGGTGTCAAAATTTGCCATTTTCTGTATGAGGAAGAGGGATGGAGGGTGAAAGGAGATCTAATTGTCCAGATCACCACTCAGGAAAACAGCACCCCATAATACTGTTTAGGTTGCCATGTACCAAGACCACTGCTTTTCACATCTTTATCCAATTTATTTCTTTTTTTAAGTGTTGGGGTTGCTTTTTTAGGGCTCTGTTTGCCTATAACTGAAAATCTGATCTATGACTCCTTAGGATCCACTGTTACAGAAGCTAACAGTAACTCCAGCTGGTGAAACAAAATGATTTGTGTCCTGCCTTCCTGGTAGGCTGCACTCTGCATTTCTTCCTAACCTCCCAGATGAGGAAAAGCACGAGTGGGTTAGAAGACTCACCAGGAGATACCAATTGAGACATTTTAAAGCTATTTACTTTGGAAGGAAGGTAAAAGGTTTACTTAATAACTACTCACAAAGCAAATAACATAACGCTCACTCCCCAAGACTTTCTGAGCCCAGAAGAGTGCCCTGTTTGAAGGTACCTCATAAAGCATCGTACAAGCTGACAAGCTGGCACTCAAGCTGAAGTCTCCTGCCGTACTCGGGAGGAAGAGATCTGACCTACTGCCGCAGGGGGTGCGGTACAGATCTGTCACTGATGAAGAAGCTGAGGTGGGTGCTGAACTATCCCTCATCCTGTCCTGACTTTCTGCACCCCCTCGCCCTGACACAGAACTTGCTGGCTGCTAAAGGGAAGAAAGACAGTTAACTCGCAAAGGGACCAGCTGCGTGGCTGCACAAGATTCAGGTTCGGCACAGCGACCCCCCCTCGGGCTCCGGCCGCTTGGGCCTCTCTGCTGCGGTTCCTCCTCCGCCCCAGGCGCCCT